ACTAACAAATTTATCCCCTCCATGACCAGGATTGTGCGCATATGCTAAGCAACCAAAGACTCGCACATTATCATAAGAAGGAGGTCGCCCAAATAACATTTCATAGGGAATATTTCCCTTTAACAGAATGGACGGTGTCCGATTGATTAGATAACATGCGATCAAGACACATTACCCCCAAAGATCAATAGGCAAGCTAGCTTGAAAGCGCAAGGCGCGGGCAACATTGAGTATGTGGCGGTGGTTGCGTTCAACCCTCCTGTTTTGTTGAGAGGTCCCGACACAAGTGGTTTGATGAATAATTCCACTTTCAGCAAAATAACCAGCCAAGCAGACAAACTCAGTCCCATTATCAGTACGGATCACCTTGACAGGTTTGTTAAATTGCCTTTGAACCATAGCAAAAAAAATTTCAAAGGACTTGTCCCACTTCCTTCTTATCAATCAGAAGATAAATCCAAACGCCTCTAGAAAAATCGTCCACTATGGTCAAGAAATAATGTGCACCACAAGAAGCTGCAGTTCTATAAGGACCCCACAAATCACAATGAACTAACTCAAAAATATCGGATGCTTTATTATTACTAGGAACAAACTCTTCCCGACATTGTTTAGCTCGGAAGCATACATCACAACCCTTACTTCTGTCAGTATGCTTAGTATGTAAAGGTAGCAATTTAATAATTCTATAAGAAGGATGCCCCAACCTTTGATGTCAAATATCTGACATTCTGCTCTCTATAGTCTTCATTGCTCTTGTTGATGCAATGCTCTGGAAATAATAGTCCCTCTCGCTGCTCACCCGCTCCAATCAACATCCTCGTAGTGCGGTCCTGTATCACATAGAATTTGTTAGTGAACTGGACGATGCAATTTGATTCCTCAATTAATTGTGATACAAAAAGTAAATTGCAATTCAAACTAGGCACATATAAAACACTAGTCAGTTTTAGGTGATCATCCAGTGCAATTGTGTCTTCTTTTTCTGCTATCGTCGCTTTCCCGTCTGGCAGCCCGACAGAGCACGGAATGATATTCTTTATGTCTCTTATTGATTTTAGGTTTCCTGTCATATGATGAGAGGCCCCTATGTTTATTATCCATTCTGACAATTTTTGCTTACCACTTAGTTGTTGACTCCCTTCTTTTTGTGTGTTCAAAAGGTTGAGTAACATGTTCCATTGCTCACTGCTCAGTCCATTTAACCCGGTCTTGGCTGCATCGATTGATTCTCCTTGAGACGTATTGCCTTGCACAGAGGCTTTGGTTGTATTGGCCTTAGCTTGGCTGTCACGACCTTTTCCTCCTGCCCCTGTTCGTTGTTTCTGTCCACCACGCCCTCGGCCTGTTCCACGGGTATTATTTTTCGGTCGATCACCCCACCATTCAGTGTAGCCGATCAGTTGGAAACAAGACTCTACTTCGTGGCCTGTCTTGTTGCAGTGAGTACATACTGTGTTCTTGTCTCTGCCCTCGCTTTGCCTCTTTCCTGTGTGGGTTGCGAAGGCCACAGCTTCAACTTTCTCTTCCTTTGCGCGTGTCATAGTCTGAACTTGCTCTTCTTGAACCACTATGGCATAGGCTCGATTCAAATTTGGCAAGGGTTTCGTACTCAGTATATGCGAACGCACACCTCCATAGACCATGTCATCTAGCCCCATCAAAAATTGATGAAGTTTCTCTTCATCCCGCTTCTTATCCCACGCCCTGCTTATGTCGCAGTTGCACTTGCCACATTGACAAGTGGGATATTGCTCATAATTTCCCAATTCCTCCCATATCATCTTGAGTTTTCCATAGTAATTCAGAATTGTCATACCTCTTTGTTTGCAATTCACCAGTTCAGATTTGAGTTGTTGGACTCGTGGTCCATTACCAACAGAAAATCGCTCCTTTATGTCGTCCCAGAGTGTCTTCACAATCTCTGTGTATGTTACGGTTGAACGTAAATTTGGTTCAATGTTATTCAGAATCCATGACACAAGCATGGAATTCACCATCCACAAATCTTCTAATTCCACTGAATCTTCCGAAGGTTGTTTCACTGATCCATCGATGAAGCCGAATTTCTTCTTGGCTCGCAGCACCGTTCTTATTGCTCGAGCCCATTCATCATAGTTGTCACCTCTAAGCTGGATCTGTGTGATAACGCTCCCTGGATTGTTATTGGTTGATAGAAGATAGGGTGAGATCACGTTCCTTGGACATTGACTGCCGCCCTGATCCTTGTTTTCAGCCATGTCGAGTATAGTGTTGGTGCCGCTGAAGAGAAACTGCCACAGAATGCTGATTCGCCGGAAGAACTCGAAGTGCCGCCACTGTTCATCGAAGAAGACGATGAACAGTGATACTTCAGAAACCAGAAGAAATGCTACCGCTGTTCTCCGAAGGAGACGATGATCACCGAAGTGCCGCCGCTGGTCCGAAAACACAGCGTCGGAATGAAAAAAAAACACAGCGCAGTTGATCACTAGTCCGAAACTAGAAGAAGTGCCGCCGCTGTTCACCGAAGGAGGCGACGATCACCGAAGTGCCGCCGCTTGTCTGAAAAACACAGCGCCAGACTGAAACCACAGGGCAGAACGCTGTCGCCGCTAATCGCTGATCCGAAGTCGCCGCTGATCACTGGTTCGAAGTCGAAGGAGACGACGATCACCGAAGTGCCGCCGCTTGTCTGAAAAACACAACGCCAGACTGAAAAGTACAACGCAGAACTTTGTCGCCGCTGATTGCTGATCCGAAGTCGCCGCTGATCACTGGTTCGAAGTCGAAGGAGACGGCGATCACCGAAGTTCCGCCGCTTGTCCGAAAAACACAGTGCCGGACTGAAGCACAACGCAAAACGTTGTCACCGCTGATCGCTGATCCGAAGTCGCCGCTGATCACTGGTTCGAAGTCGCCGCTGATTGATCGTCGCTGCCGCCGTTGATCTCCAGAGTGCCCTGGCTCTGATACCATGAAAAACCAGTGCTTCTCTGGTTTCTACTTTCAAAATCTTATTTACTCAGAATGTCGAAATATATACAATCGAGATCCTATGTTTACAAGAATAAGAAGATGTAGAAGAATAAGAGGTATCTAATACTCCTGATTCGATTACAACAGACACTCCGAATTCAATTACTAATTGTAATCCTAACATACCTTCAAGAAATTTTCATTGCTTCGTTCCAAGTTATGCGTTACATGCCCACGTATAACTTGAGGGGATAATAGATCACGTCTCTGTTTCCATATTTTCGTTGGCTCTCTCTCTTTCTCTGTTTTTAGATCACACCTGACTCTTATCCTTTTATTTGTCTTTATCCATTATTTGTGTTTTATCTTTATTATTGTTAGAGTTCTACTTGGACTCCATCTTCTTGTGTTTAAATGCCTTGGCATCGAATACAGAAATAGCTCCCAAATATTTCATTTAATTAGGGAGGAGAGAGTGAGAAGGAACAAAACCATGTTGGTATTTGTAGAGGACAAGGGGAGGTTTAAGTAACTTAGAATATTTAGTTTAAAAGTATTTTCTTTTTTATATTATTTCTTTTAAATAATTAACAGCAATAATGATGAACAATAATATTATAGATTACTATTAATAGTAAATTACTAATATACTATTAATAATTTTCAGCAACAACAATTAGATTATTTATTAACAGTAATAATTAACATTAATATCATATATTATAGTTTATTGTAATTAATTATAGATTATTGCTAATTATTAAAAAATTAATTAACATTCATGCATTAATTACTATAAAGGCTAATTAATTAACAATAATGTGTTTATTACAATAAATAATGGTTTGGTCAGCATTAATTAAACATATGTTTTTAATAGTTCAAGAGAGATCGAGCTGATCCACGAACTAATTGCAAAACGGGTTATGAGGACCCTATAACATCACCTTCCTCACATGTTTGTTGCAAAAAGTCGTTGTTATAGGTGAAAGAACTGCTTAGTTCATGATTGGAAAATGGTCTGAGTTGACACGTCATTTGAAATTGGTGATTCAACAGAAGTGACCAGCTGACCATAAACCAGTGAAATGACCTACTAGCAAGGTTCATAGGTTGATAGTCTGCTTTTGGCAAGCTTCAAAGGTCAATAATTGTATCTGGGTCTGATTGGCCTTGTTGGCAATTCTTCGTAATTGTATCAATTTCTTAAATGAATGGAATATTCTTTAAGCCTTAAAAAAAAAGGTCACGCCTACCCTTGTTCATTGTGCATGGAATAGCATCTGTATCTAAAACTCAGTTTGGAAGAGATATAAATACAAATATGTAGAGTACAAAACCTTGTATTTTGTATTATTTTCTAGGTACTTGCATTATATGTATTTGCATTTATACTCTTTCCAAACTGAGCTAACTGGATACGGATCCAATTATATAAAACCCACCCTTGTTGCATATTGATGACTATATGTTTTTGTTGAAACACCCAAAATCCAACAAAGGTTCAAAAGAGAGAAATTATTGGTTTTACATGGAAAACATGTATTGGAAACCATTGGTTTCAAGAAAGATTATGAGGCCTAATGGAAAATAGCAGTGAATACATACCTTCAGTGGTGTCAATCGAATGAAGTAGTATGTCCTTTCATCAAAGCAAATTGCAATAATTTCCTCCAAAACTTTCGATCAAAAATTCATGATTATTATAGTTTGTAAAATGTTAAAAAAAACAAAGAAAAATCTTGTTGGGGCTTTACTAACTGATGGTGCGCAATCCAGCTGGTCCTACCTGTCAACGATTCTGCCTCTGGGCGGAGATACGGGGAGCCTGAAACAGAGAAGATGAGGAAGCTCCAGGGGGAACCCGGTATGAATGCTCCGAAACTCAAGTTAGAATTCTCTCAAAGGCAAGATAAAACCAGATGGCGCAAAGTTCACATACCTTGTTCTTGGGGGGTAGGGAGCCTTTTACAACCACTTCGTGCACTCACTCCTAAGCTTCTGTTAGGTCGGGTATGATTATCTCTGCGCTCCTGCCAGTTCGGGTGTCATCACCTCTATTGGGGCAGAACCG